CTGAAAGAAGCATTGAGAGAGAAGCACCAAAAATGTGGAAAAATGATTTACCAGCAGCCAAAAGTTTTTTGCATTCTGCACCAAGATTTGCCAAGTCGGAATTGAGAATTGAAGGGCATATGATCGGCCGCAAAACCATCTGTCAACAAAATTTTAGACTGATACTGGAAAAACAAAGTTTAGCGCCGAATCAAAAGAAACTGAGGGTTAAGCACCCATGCTGCGCAATCAGATAACGTAACAGGGGAAAATCTTCACCATCAGAAAAATCGTATACAATCAGCTCTCAATGCATAAATACAGTCATAACAAAGAAAAAAATCTGAATTCATTGCAATCGACGAAATTATTTATCACAGCTAAGAAGAAAATCTGCAAAGAGTAAGAGAAGATAGAAATGCTCTTCCAATAAAAAGAAAAAAAAGGTTAGCCTCTCAAACCAATAAATACTTCTTCCACCTTATAACAAAACCCTCAGTTCACTTGAGCTTACGCAAAAAAATCGATTTCAAGGACAATTTACAATCACAGAAAATTTGTGGCGGCGAGACTACGGAGAGTATCAAAACATCTACGCTCACAGCACTGCAACGAGGATATGAGATAAACAACTCTCGTGCTTCAATCAAGGCAGCAAATGGCTTGATTATAGATTTACAGGTAATCGTAACATGGTATCTCAACACGATAATATGTTCACACAGGAAACATTATTTGAACATCCCTAACTTCTTAGATAAAAGAAGACAAATAACAAGCAGCAAGTGATAACCGTCGATAATATAATGGCATCTTTTCGCTTTTTGTACTGTATCTTCTGCATTACATTGTTTATCATCGGGTATTTTTCTGTAAACATGACGAGAAAAATCTTTGTAATATAACTTAAAGGCAACGTCCAGGCAAATCTGGACATATTGGGACCTTACGTGGAAAGCAATCTTAGGACCCTAAGACACTGCCCAGGCGGCAGCTCAGATAATGCACTCACCGCAGAAATATTCGCCTCCAAACTGGGCCCC